TGAGCGGGGTCCCATAGGGGTCGGTCCTAGGACCAGTGTTATTTCTGGTATATGTGAATGACATGATGGAAGGGATAGACTCAGAGGTGTCCCTGTTCGCAGATGATGTGAAGTTAATGAGGAGAATTAAATCAGATGAGGACCAGGCAGGATTTCAAAGAGACCTGGACAGGCTGGACATGTGGTCCAGCAACTGGCTTCTTGAATTCAACCCTGCCAAGTGTGAAGTCATGAAGATTGGAGAAGGGCAAAGAAGACCGCAGACAGAGTATAGACTAGGTGGCCAAGGACTGCAAACCTCGCTCAAGGAGAAAGATCTTGGGGTGACCATAACACCGAGTATGTCTCCGAAGGCACACATCAACCAGATAACTGCTGCAGCATATGGGCACCTGGCAAACCTGAGAACAGCGTTCTGATACCTTAGTAAGGAATCATTCAAGACACTGTACACTGTGTACATCAGGCCCATACTGGAGTATGCAGCTCCAGTTTGGAACCCACACCTGGGCAAACACGTCAAGAAATTAGAGAAAGTGCAAAGGTTTGCTACAAGGCTAGTTCTGGAGCTCAGCGGTATGTCCTACGAAGAAAGGTTGAGGGAAATCGGACTGATGACATTGGAGGACAGGCGGGTCAGGGGAGACATGATAACGAAGTACAAGATACTGTGTGGAATAGATAAGGTAGACAGAGACAGGTTGTTCCAGAATGGGGCCACAGAAACAAGGGGTCACAACTGGAAGCTGACAACTCAGACGAGTCATAGGAATGTTAGGAAGTATTTCTTCAGTCATAGAGTCGTCAGGAAGTGGAATAGCCTAGCAAGTGATGTAGTGGCAGGAACCATACATAACTTTAAGACGAGATAGGACAAAGCTCTGGAAGCAGAGAGAGAGAGAGAGAGGACTTAGTAGCGATCAGTGAAGAGGCAGGGCCAGGAGCTGTGTCTCGACCCCTGCAACCACAATTAGGTGAGTGCACATATAAAATACTGCGCGGAATAGATAAGGTGGACAAAGACAGGATGTTCCAGAGATGGGACACAGAAACAAGAGGTCACAATTGGAAGTTGAAGACTCAGATGAATCAAAGGGATGTTAGGAAGTATTTCTTCAGTCACAGAGTTGTCAGGCAGTGGAATAGCCTAGAAAGTGACACAGAAGAGGCAGGAACCATACACAGTTTTAAGACGAGGTTTGATAAAGCTCATGGAGCAGGGAGAGAGAGGACCTAGTAGAAATCAGTGAAGAGGCAGGGCCAGGAGCTATGACTCGATGCCTGCAACCACAAATAGGTGAGTACACACACACACACACACACACACACACACACACACACACTAAGAGGTATGTCCTACGAGGAGAGGTTAAGGGAAATCAACCTGACGACACTGGAGGACAGGAGAGATAGGGGGGACATGATAACGACATACAAAATACTGAGAGGAATTGACAAGGTGGACAAAGACAGGATGTTCCAGAGATTGGACACAGTAACAAGGGGACACAGTTGGAAGCTGAAGACACAGATGAATCACAGGGATGTTAGAAAGTATTACTTCAGCCACAGAGTAGTCAGTAAGTGGAATAGTTTGGAAAGCGATGTAGTGGAGGCAGGATCCATACATAGCTTTAAGCAGAGGTATGATAAAGCTCACGGCTCAGGGAGAGTGAAGAGGCGGGGCCAGGAGCTTGGACTCGACCCCCGCAACCTCAACTAGGTGAGTACACACACACACATACACACACAAACACTCACATACACACACATGTCCCATAAGGAGAGGTTAAAGGAAATCAACTTGACAACACTGGAGGACAGGAGAGAGAGGGGGGACATGATAACGACATAAAATACTGAAAGGAACTGACAAGGTGGACAGAGACAGAATGTTCCAGAGATGGGACACAGCAACAAGGGGACACAGTTGGAAGTTGAAGACTCGGATGAATCACAAAGATGTTACGAAGTATTTCTTCAGTCACAGAGTAGTCAGGAAGTGGAATAGTTTGGGAAGCAATGTAATGGAGGCAGGATCCATTCACAGCTTTAAGAAGAGGTATGATAAAGCTCATGGTGCAGGGAGAGTGAACCAGTAGAGGCCAGTGAAGAGGCAGGGCCAGGAGCTATGACTCGACCCATGCAACCACAATTAGGTGAGTACAACTAGGTGAGTACACACACACACACACACACACAGAAAGAGACAGAAACAGAAACAGAGAGAGAGAGATATAGAGATAGACAGACAGACAGACAGACAGACAGACAGACAGACAGACACACATACACACACACACACACACACACACACACACACACACACACACACACACACACACACACACACACACACGCACACATGCACACACGCACACACACATGCGCACGCACACACGCACACACACACACACACGCACAAAACGCACACACACACACACGCACACATGCACACACACACACACACAAACACACACACACACACACACACACACACACACACACACACACACACACACACACACACACACACACACACTTCTTCAGCCACAGAGTAGTCAGGAAGTGGAATAGTTTGGGAAGTGATGTAGTGGAGGCAGGATCCATACATAGCTTTAAGCAGAGGTACGATAAAGCTCACGGTTCAGGGAGAGTGACCTAGTAGTGACCAGTGAAGAGGCGGGGCCAGGAGCTTGGACTCAACCCCTGCAACCTCAACTAGGTGAGAACTAGGTGAGTACACACACACACACACATGCACACACACACACACACACACACACACACACACACACACACACACACACACACACACACACACATACATACATACACACACACACACACACACACACACACACACACACACACACACACACACACACACACACACACACGCTGCAGCATACGGGCGCCTGGCAAACCTGAGAATAGCGTTCCGATACCTTAATAAGGAATCGTTCAAGACACTGTACACTGTGTATGTTAGGCCCATACTGGAGTATGCAGCACCAGTCTGGAACCCACACCTGGTCAAGCACGTCAAGAAGTTAGAGAAAGTACAAAGGTTTGCAACAAGGCTAGTCCCAGAGCTCAAGGGAATGTCGTACGAGGAAAGGTTAAGGGAAATCGGACTGACGACACTGGAGGACAGAAGGGTCAGGGGAGACATGATAATGACATACAAGATACTGCGGGGAATAGACAAGGTGGACAGAGATAGGATGTTCCAGAGAGGGGACACAGGGACAAGGGGTCACAACTGGAAGCTGAAGACTCAGACGAGTCACAGGGACGTTAGGAAGTATTTCTTCAGTCATAGAGTTGTCAGCAAGTGGAATAGCCTAGCAAGTGAAGTAGTGGAGGCAGGAACCATACATAGTTTTAAGAAGAGGTATGACAAAGCTCAGGAAGCAGAGAGAGAGAGAGGATCCAGTAGCGATCAGTGAAGAGGCGGGGCCAGGAGCTGAGTCTCGACCCCTGCAACCACAATTAGGTGAGTACACACTCACACACTCACTTTCTTGAACTGTAGTGTAGGTAAGATCCATACATAGCTTTATGGTATAGGTATCATAAAGCTCATGGAGCAGGCAGTGTGACCTAGTAGCGACCAGTGAAGAGGCAGGGCCAAGAGCTGTGGCTCGACCCCTGCAACCACAACTAGGTGAGAACTTGGTGAGTACACACACATACAGAGCATGCTTGTCATTAATGTATACTGGGTGGCAGGCACTCATCATAATTTAATGTCCAAAGTAATACCTTACCCTAGCACATTCGTTGATGGGACAAAAAGTTACACTGGCTGGGAAACTCAAAGTAGACTGTCTCAGGATTCCCTGTGTCCTAAATGCCTTCTGGATTTGTGTGATAAGTTGTCATAAGTTTCAGTCTCTTATGTGTGGGTTATTTGTGTACTCAGAAGAATTGATATGGTAGACAGGGAGAGGCAAAAAATGGGTAAGCAGGGACATAGCTGGATGTTAAAAGTCACAGATAGCTACAGGAATGTCAGGGAGTATTTCTTCAGTCTCAAGTGTTTCTGGGAAGTGGAATGAGCTCGGTGAGGAAATGGTGGAGACATGCTCCATTAACAGTTTTAAGAGCAGGTATGATGCAGCCCAGGAGGCTACAAAAAAGTGAATCTGGCAAGTGGGAAGTTAAGAGGTAGGGTCAGAAGTTGACAATAAACCCCTGCAACCACAAATAGATGAGCATGCATGCAAGTGCATATGTGCACACTCATGCATGCATGCTGCACACACATGCACACACATGCATGCATGCACACACAATAAATAATTATTTTAGGAATATTGTAATAAAAATAACATTTCAAGCCATGCACCTCCTTCGAATCTTGTATCCACTGACTAGTACACAGCTGAGCCTACATCTCGAATATTAGGTAAAAGCATGCAAAATACAATTAATAAATATGAACCAGTCTTGATCGGTTCTTCTCTGAAAGAGAAAAATGTTGCAGAAGGCTTAAGCATTCCACCAGCAAGCATGATGACTTGAGGATAACTCAAATGCGTATAAACGCAAGATAAAGTGACAGTGAGAAGGAACACTTAACACATGCCTCTTGATCAGTGCTTCATCACCAGCACACCATGCAGAGTATATGACAATTTGTCTCACTTAATGCGCAAGCGCATCTAGGCAGCCATGGCACACTGGCATCTTGACTTAGCATTTTAATGGATTCCAAGGGTACCCTGAAGATTTTTCCCATGCAGTAAAAATGACCCTGTATGCAAACAAATCTACTTTATTCAACTGATCAAGACAAGATATTTTTGCTGAAAGAGATACTGTCTCTTGCTTCATCAATCTTTTACACATTGGTTTTAGTAATTCCATATTGCGAGTGCTACAGGGGATGCTTGAAAACCTTCCTAATCTTGCCAAGATAATCTCATCCTCAAGGTTTAATTTGTAATTGGTCAGCTGCTGCACATGTGCCTTGACCAACAACTAGTACTTACAGCCGATGAGCATAACCAATATGGTGAATATCTTCTCAACATCTGTATTAGGCGCCACGTTGCCGAAGCCCACCGATGTGAGACTACTGAAGGTGAAGTACAGTGCTGTCACATACTTCGCCTGCGGGGGGGAAGTGGTGACGCTAGGCATTACAGAGTGGAGGCCACGTTAAAAACCAAAGCAGGTCACAGGAGTCATGACAGATTTCAGAAAGGGAGATGTACAAGAGACCTATGAAAAATAGGGGTGGTCAAGGCAAAACTGAAACATAACAAAGCTCACCATAGAAACCAAAAGAGATAGTGAAAGTATTGTTAGATGCTTGAAGAAAGAGGTTCTACAAATCCTTTGAGGTAGTGGTAATGTACTACTGTCTCCTAAACAATAAGATAAGGAGGTAATGCTGTGTGTGACCTGAGATAATTATGGATGAGTGGAAGTAAGATGTCTACTGGTCTGTGGTATATACACTGCATGCATCTTAATTTCTCATGCTTTGTGTTAATATCTTTGATCTATTGTATCAGAATATAAGGGAAAAGAATGAGTGTGTATATAAATTTGAAGATTATTGTGAACCAATCTTATTTATGTAAATCAATAAAAATACTGAATGTTTCTTCAAACAGCAATTCTTGAAAAAAAAAAAAAAACACACACATGTATATAACATATATATACATATATATACAATATATATATATATATATATATATATATATATAAATATATATTATATATATATAAATATATAATATATATATATATATATATATATATATATATATATATATATATACAATATAATAATATATTTGTTTTTCCTCAGAACTAAGAAATTGTGGAAGCAAAAACATAGTCAAACTATTTGAGAAGTAAATTTTAATAATGGTGAAAGGGGAAATTTAATTTGATCAAGTTTAGACTCAAGTATAAACATAACCAATATCAAACAAACCCAGCAGATATTTTAGTATTAGATGATTCAAAGAAAAACTGGCTTGTAAAGTATGAAATATAAATTTAACATGCTAAAAGATTTTTTTATTATATACGTATTATATTTTATGAGACATGATTAAGTGAACTCAAAGCATTACAATTAAAATTAATGTACAATAAAGAGGATGGTCATTTAAGATTGATGTGTTACCAAAATACAAACATCTAAAAAATTTTCACAAACAGAAAAAGGATATACTATGATTAATTACAAATTAGTTATCAAGATGCTTAATACACAATAACCTGAATCGATTTCATAATGAGAGCCAAAACTTACCTATGCTAACACAACACCCAGTTATGGAAGCTGGTATCCCTTGCTATCCATCATTGCCTAGTAAACTTGTATATTAAGTCACTCTTAGAGCTACTTTGTGCCTGTTTACACAGTCTAACATTTATCTTGATACCATACACAAAAGTACTGTACTGCGACACCATCATGTGTGAAACAAAACGCTTTTACTGTGGAACACTACATTAACGATAGTGTACTCGCATGTCTACAGCTTTGTTGTATGAGAGACTTTAAAACTCATGCCCAAATACAATGTAATGTAAATATAATATATATATATAATATATATATATATATATATATAATATATATATATATATATTATAATATATATATATATATGTATATATATTATAATGTATATATATGTATATATATATATATATATAATATATATATAATATATAATATATATATATATATATAATATATATATTGTGTGTAATATATGTATATATATATATATATATATAATATATATATATATATAATAATTAATATATATATATATATAATATATATAATATATATATATATATATGTATATTAAATATATCATATTTTATATAAAAGCATAAAATATATATATATAGTATTAATATATATTTAAATAATATAGATAGATAGATTAGATAGACGATATGATATATATGTTGCGACACGTTAAATATGTTTGAGGCAAAAAATACTTTGCAAAAATAGAGTTCAGTAGTTCTTATGAAAAATCAAAGAAGGCCAATTAAAAATTAATATTAAATTGCAAGAAGCATTTTTCTCAAGTCTCGGACATACAAGTATGCCTGGTATATTTTAGTTAGGCATCAACGCAAAGATGTTATCTCTGCATCCAGTGGCTGCCAGATCTACTGCCTGATCCGGCTAAGCCCACTTTACAGCCCGTCATCATGACGAAAATCGTGAAGCCTCTCAATCTTGTTGGCACACTTGCCAAAGCCGCCGAATGTGAGGGAGGAGAATGTGAAGTAGAGGCCGTAATGTAGCTGGATGAGAGGAGAAATGAGTTTATGTAAGCAGATTTATGTAGGTTAACTGTTGAACTATTCATTAATAGGGATCAACATTGAAGTTATTCAGTTGAATTCAATGTCTAGCATCAGTTTTGAACTCAACGTTGTGAGTAATGTTTATGTTGAGGCATCAATCTGCCAGAACACACTGACCCCTGTGAAACATCAACATTGCCAGCTACAATCATCTGAGGAGCATAAATGTTGCTAATTTAGATCGAGATGCTAGGCTATGTTCTTATTTATTCATCAAACTTGGCATTGTGTGTATAATTTGAGTATCAACATTGTCAAGCTATGTTCATGTTGACGGATCAATTATGTAAAGCTACATATTTAGCTGAGGCATTAAGTTGACAGCCTATCCAATAAAGAGGCATCACATCCATGTATGTATTATCAAGAGCCATCATTTTGACCTATGTTGAATGTCAACATTCAGTACAGCATCAAATGTCAAGAGGCTACTTCCTGTGAGTATTGATATTGCCGGCTTTCTATTCATAGGCCGATTCAGCAGTGCAAGCTACGTGAAGGAAGATATCAAACTTGTTGGTCTAAATTATATATGCAGAATCAGTAATACGTTAGGCAGTACTCAGACACAGATTCGGGAAGTATAGTCCCAAAAAAAATGAGTGATCAGAAAATTTGTAAACAGAAACATTAACAATATCAACATCAAAAATATATATACATATATATAAATATATATATATGATATGATAAATATATATATATGATTAATATATGATATATATATATGATTAACATTTAACTTTCATCTGTACAGAATGTATTATGCGGCTTACAACTAGATGAACTGAAGGTTAAGATGGTACAACACATTTCTGGTTATAGAATTTTTGAAATAACATAATATTTTATGATTTTCAGAGATATGATGCAGCAAATACAATAAGACAAGGATAAAACTATTAATACAATGGGAATTTGTGAGAAAATATAGACTATGAAAACATGTAAAGAGCAGCGGAGTTAGGGCTATGTCAGAAATTCTGGAAATATTAACAAGACTTTGGGTCTTATTCATAAAAAAATTATTTGGATTGTGTATCTTGAGTCTGATTAATGGCTCACTAAACACAATCATGCTGAGACTTCAGTATCTCACTCTTTTCTGTCATCAGTGTAAGTCCCATCTTATTTAAACAAGGGCCCAATGCTGCATGTGGTTTTTGCCTTGTTTTTAGCATACGAAAAGATTTCTTTCAATTTCATTTAGCTCCTGTTTCTTCTGGGTCCTGTGAGATTAATTTAACTTAAATTCAATATTTCCTGTCTCTGTAATCAGTGTTTCCTTCCACATTTCAGATAGTCTAGCCCCCCTGAGAAGTTCTATGATTATTCATCTTTGCCTGTAAAGGAAGCCTCTCTCTCTCCTTTTAGTTTACATTTTTGCTTCTTTTTCCTTAGGAAAATGTGCATTAAATATACTGAACTACCACAGAGCCGATCCTTTCTAGGAACTGGTTTGGATCCAGGTCATTTAAAATATCTTCCCAGCACTTTTCAATAATGTGATTTATTTGATCCCAGTTGATGTTCTTGTTGTTGCGGTTATATTTTCCTTTTACTGGTCAGTGCCCCTGTGCATACTAGTGTGAGCCTGAATTAGATTATGATATGAATTATTTCTCTTCTGTACTGTTATATTTCATACCAAGTCATCATTATTTGCAAAAAATTAGGTCAAGTGTATTTTCCAGTATCAATGGCTCTGCTATTTGCTGGCTTAAAGTGTATTTATTACACATATTCAGCTGCTCATTTGTGTGATAATTTTCATTTGAGCTGCCTCCTGGGATTCTTCCATTTTATATGCTTTAAACTGAAATTGCCAAGCAACACGAAGTTTGGGGCTGGGGTTGGAAGATTTTCCAAACTGTTATTAATTTATAATAGCTGTTCCTTTAAACTGTTGGGATGTTGCATCTGGTGGCTTATATGCAACCACAATGAAGAGGTTTTGGTTCTCAATCTTTACTTTCAAAACTTCAACTACATCATTAGTGGTATTTAGTAACTGTGTGCAGATAAAAAACTCTGACATACAGGCCAACCCCTCCTTGTTGCCTGTTCTTCCTGTTACATCTAAATAAGTTGTACCTTGTTATCTATATTTTGTTGTCAAAGTGATCTTTTGTGTTTGTCTCTGTGAAAGCTGTAAACCTCAGAGTTGACTCCATGAGGATTCCAGTGATGAAAGGTACTTTGTTTTTGATGGATGGCTTAAGGCCTTGTATACTTACAAATACAAATGATGTAGTATTGTTAGCTTGTTTTTTTTTTTTGTGCTAATATCTGTAGTTTTGGATAAGGGGCCACTGTCTGTGCCTCCAATCCTACAAGGCTCCGAGGTGGTGGAATATTTTTGTTATTTCTTGCCATTTTCTCTGCTTTCTAGCACTAAAAAATCTCCTGCTACTGAATGGTTGATTTCCCCAGGCACTGTGAGGTCTGGACCTCCTGGTTCCTTTCAAGTTTAATGTGGGGAAATTTGTGTTGTAGCACTGGTTTTCATGGACTGATGTATAACACATTTTAGGGTGAAACAGTTTACAGGGGGTAGACTGGCACACTCCTTTTGTCAGGAAGTCAAAGCGTTTTTTGGGATATTCAAAACTGCACGTTCCATATGTTTTTCTAGATATTCCTTGACTGCAGATACCCCAAGCAATGAATTTGCACAGTTCTGCTTTCTGATGAGTTTACTCTTACACTGTGTGTATGCGTACTCACCTAATTGTAGTTGCAGGAGTAGAGTC